GATATCTCTCCTATTTGCCACAAGTAGACTTTTCAAAGACTACTAAAGAGTAGCTCTGAGATTATGGATGAAAACTCTGTTACCACCCTGTTACCTAATTCATTTGGCCTCGTTTTAAACATCTTGGGGTAAGTTTACTAATCTCTCATCTATATGGAGCTTAAAATTCTCACTTTTTATAAGTTTTTCTCTATATTCAATTTAAAAACATATCTAAAAAAGAGAAGGGAAAAATAGGAGTTGAATGAGTCTGCTACTTCTTTAATATGCTTTCTGTTATCAGCTCTAAGCAGTACACTTATCATTTCCTTCTTTTTGACTAAAAAAAAAAAAGCATGCCTTATAGTTCCTATGTCAACTTTGTTTTCTTTATCCTCAATTTATTGAGAGTTTAAATAATTTTACACTTTTATAATAGATTTCTACATTCAACCTTGGTTACTCTCCCTTCTTTGTGTCTTTTACATATACGTATGAATTTTTAGATTACTAGGCAGCCATTCAACTTTCCTGAGCTATCTTCCATTTTATTTGAATTATTTCTCATTTATTCAACTAGAAGTTTTGTTGTGGTTGTTTTTTAATCTCCCTTTGTTAGCCATATCCCTTTCTGAGACTCAAGTCATTGGTTAAGAACTGTTTTCCCTGAACTTTTTATAAAAGTTTCTCGAAGTCCAGGGCACTTGTCTGACTCTGAAGCCCAGGGTGCGCTCCTCTGGCCATCATAAACTATTAGCTCAGGGTTCTCAACCATTTTTTACATCACAGCACTTCACGGATGAAAGTCTCCCTTATGACACACCCTCACATGTATCCCAAGTTTTACCAACCTCAAGAATATTTTGCCTAAAAGTAAAAATCATATTTAACTGACACCTATATTAGCTATATGCCAGTTATGATTGCTCGCCACAGTCATATGGTAACATTGATAAACAAGCTGTGGATTATTCTATATAATAAAAGGCTAATGTGCAAATTGTCCCCTCTACCTGGAATTTGACCAGAGGACAGGGCCAGCTGGCCAACTGCTTGTGGCCCCTCCCCTCAACTGGCCAGCCCAATTGACCCCGATTGGGGCAGGCCAGCTGGACCCTTCCTGTGCACAAATTCATGCATTGGGTATCTAGTAAGAATATAACAGCCATGATATCATCGGGATAACCTTGTGTGTGTATACACACACACACACACACACACACACACACACATATCACTAATTTCTGTCAAAACCAGTGTTTAGGAACAGGAACTATTTTCAATAAACCAAATCTTCCTTAATTCTACTTTTGTACACCAAAAGGTCATGGGTTCAATTCTCACTTAAGGCACTTACCTAGATTATGCATTTGATCCCCAGGGCAGCCAAACATCACATTATGTTTCTCTCTGTCTCTCTCCCTCTCCCTTCCTCTCTCTCTAAAATCAATAAAGTAACATCCTTCTTAAAAGAAAATCTGGCCCTGGGTTAAAGCGTCGACCCATAAACCCAAGGGTCCTGGGTTCAATTCCAGTCAAGGGCACATACCTAGTTTGCAGGAGGCAACCAATTGATGTGTTTGTCTCACATCATGATTTTCTCTCTCTCCTCTCCTCCTCTCACCTCCTTCCACTCTCTCTAAAAATCCTCCAGTGAGGATTAATCAAAAAATAAATAAAAAGTAAATCTGTTTCTTACATAATATATAGTGTTTGCTTAGAACTTGCTTCAAAGAATATTTAAGGTCTCCTGACACACTTTCATAAATCTATTCTATTGTAGATTTATGATTTATACTCCAAAACCTTTGATGCAAAAGGAATATAACTTTTAGTAAAGGTGGTGAACACTTTTAAAAAACACTAAATTTTGAGGGGGATCCAAGATGGCTGCTCGGGTAGACACCTAACCGCAGCAGCACACAACAATTTCAATGGAATACAACTAAAATGTAGAGTGGACATCGCCCAGAGCTACAGGTAGTTGACTGACTGAAAAATTCTACAAGAAGGAAAGAGAAACCCAGAAGGAAAATCAGAGGAGCTGAAAAAAAAAAGCCTAAGGTACAGAGACATGCTGCACGCTCGCACACACGCGCGTGCGAGCGGAGAGATCACAGCCGGAGAGGAGGAGAGGGCTGGGTGCTGCCTGGCGTTCCCTAGCAGGAAGGAAATAAAACCCCCAGCCTGGGCTAAACCCCTGAACCAGCAGCGCTGACCCCCAGTTATGAGCCAGACCCTGGGGACCCAGGCTCCGGTGGGGGAGACAGGGCTGTGAGGCGGAATCTCAAGCAAGCAGCGAAAAGCGGGGCCCCGGAGTCGCACGCACACTGCGCGCAGAGGACTAAATGTTGACTCTGATGCTGGATTACCCTAGCAGGAAGAAACAAAGCCTCCGGCGGCACTGAGCCTCAGTCCGGACTGCTCTGAACCCCAGCCCTGGACCAGACCCTGGGGACCCAGGCTCAGGCAGGGGGAGACGGGGCTGTGAGGCGGAATCCCAGGGGAGTGGCGAAAAGCGGAGCCCCCAGAGTCACGCGCACTGCGCGCAGAGGACAGTCTGTTGACTCTGATCCTAGACTCCCCTAGCGGGAAGGAGGAAAAAAAAAAGCTCCAGACTGGAGGAATGCGACAGGGAGCAGGAGCCCCTGCCGGACACCAGCCAGCCGGGCGCCGGCAGGGAGCTGGGCGACCTGGGCGACGGGGCCCCCATGGCGGGGGGGTGCCCCTGAGCCATCGACCTCTGAGCGCAGGCAACGGAGCCAAGGCCAGGAGCTGCTTCCTGGGCAGCGCCGACCCCGGCAACAGACTGGAGCAGCGTGTGAGCCCGCGGAGAACAAAGGGGTGCCACAGGCCAACCTGCTGAGCTCCCAGGACAAGGAGGAAGAAACCAAAGTTCTCAATGTGAAGAAATCAAGTGAGAGCAAAAGATAGTAAAATTACTTAAGAAAGAATACAAAGAAGATCTTGAAAAATCAAAGACTAAGTCAGAACTCAACTCACCAGCCAACATTGCAACATAAATGCGTTTAAAAAAAAGAAAAAGGACAGAATGTTGGAACAGCGGTGGCCAGGCCTAGAGTGCCCAGGCACAAAGCAATGGCAACCGGGCCCGGAGCAGCAACGGCCAGGCCCCAGAGCAGCAGCAGCCAGAACCAGAGCAACAACAGCCAGCACTGGAGCAGCCAGACCTGGGGCAGTGGCAGCCAGTCCTGAGGCGGAGGCAGCCAAGCCCAAGGTGGCCAGTCCAGAAATATCCAGACCCGGAGTGGCTGGACCCGGAAAAGCCGGGCCCAGAGCAGCCGGGTTGGGAGCAGCCAGGTCCAGAACAGCAGTACCAAGCCCAGAGCATCCAGGCTGGGAGCGGCCAGACTCGGAGCGGCCGGGCCCGGGGCAGCCTGGCCCAGAGCAGCTGGGTCTGGTGCGGCCAGGCCCAGAGCAGCAGCTGCCAGGCTGGGAGCGGCCAGGCTCGGAGCAGTGATTGCCAGGCTGGGAGCGGCCAGGCCCGGAGCAGCGGCTGCCAGGCTGGGAGCAGCCAGGCCTGGAGCAGCCGGGTCAGGTGTGGCCAGGCCCGGAGCTGCAGCTGCCAGGCTGGGAGCGGCCAGGCCCGGAGCAGCCGGGTCTGGTGCGGCCAGGCCTGGAGCAGCAGCTGCCAGGTCCAGAGCAACTAGGTCGGGAGCGGCGGTGACCAGACCCGGAGCAGCTGGTTGTGGAACGAACCAGAGCAACAGAGGCCAGGCCCGGAGCAGCCAGGCCCGAAACAGCTCACTTCTCGCCTTCCCCTGCCCCACGGCTGCCTCTCAGACATGGCTGGAAACTTTTGTGGGAACTTGAGGGTCTGCTGAATCAAGTGATGAAGGCTTAGATCTGGATGTGTTGAGTTAGTATAGGGCTGGGGTTTTGATCTGTGAGTGCCTTGGGTGGGGCCTGGATGAGGCTGGTTGACCTATTTGGAAATGTCTTTTGTGTGAAATGTATCATTGGGCATGTGGTGGTATTATTGATATGAGAAAATGCTAAGTAACTGATTTACTATCTGAAAAGGGATTTACTATCGGGGAAAGGGAGGGAGGAAGAGACTGAACATAAACTGTACCTATGGATGAGGACAATGGGGGATGGGGAGGGGGCGAAGGGTGGGGTGGGAACCTGGTGGAGGGGGGAAGAAATGAGGAACCTTTGTAACAATATGAACAATAAAGATTGATTTAAAAAAAAAAAAAACACTAAATTTTATTTTTAAAGCCCTTTTTCTTTCTAGTCATGTAACCCACTCCAATTCAATTTCCCTTATGTTTTTAACCTAGAAAATTTGACCAAATAAATCCACTGAAGCTGCTCTTCCATAATCCTAATACGTTATTCATACAATCATACAATGTAGTAATGCACCATGGTACCAAAAGCTGGAGCCCTCCCTCTCCATTGGGTTGGATTGAGCCTTAGTAAATGAAAAGTTCTGTACTATTCTACTCTGGCCCTCGAGGCAATGGCATCAAATGTCCACAGCAAGAGCCACTCGCTGGTTATACTAATCTTTCCTCAATATCCACAAATCTATCTTGTAAAAATTCAGGCTTTCCTTTTTTACAACTTCTTTTCATGAATTCATTTTTAACAACTAAAACATTACCCTAACTTAAGACATTGCGGACCAGTAGTTTTATTGTTAGCTTTACCCAGTGGCCAGATAAGTTTCTATTGAATGTTAAAGGCACACTTTAAAATTAAATGCCCATTGCATTTTGAAGTTATTACATGTTTTAAAATATGATTGCCCACAAGCCTTAGAACAGAAAACACGAGCATTCTCATAATCAGTCTGCAATGTGTTAATAAGCACTGTTCTAAAGCTTATTTCTATGTACATCTTCCACACAAAAAAATCAAGATTGTCTGTTCATTGTATGCACATATGCATAACCCAATGGGCACAGACAAAAAGGTGGTGAAGGTCTGGGGCAGGGGGCGGGTGCAGGCTAGAAGGGGTCAATGGGGGGGAAAGGGGAATATAAGTAATACTTTCAACTATAGATATTTTATTTAAAAAATAAAAATATTGTTCAGTTCAGAGGTCTGATGGTAGTTTTTTAAAACACAAAATCACTCCACTTGTGATTATTATGGAAGATGTGAAAATCTGTCTAAAAGTCATCCAAACAAAGAGCCAAATACACCTCAAATTCTTCATTTTTTGGAAGATATTTTGTGCATTCATGTGTGCCTGAGCTATATAATCTTGGAAACAACAATCTGGTCTAGATCTCTTCACTTTTAAAAGTCATCCGAGATTCCACACTTGACCCAGAACAAAGCAGCAGTTTTTCAGGATCATATCTGTGCCTTCGTGACCAGAGTTCCCCTATGCTTTGAGACCTTGGGGACAGGGTTTCAAACTGGATATAAGTCTCTTTTTCCAAATCTTCTTCCCAGAAGGACTCTGACTTACATTGCAGTTTGCAAACTTTATACAACAGGAAAACAATCAACGGCAAGACAACAACGCAGGCGGCACCGCTCACCGCCATAAGGAAGGGCTCTTGCGAATGACTTTCTTCAGCACCGTCGGTAGAAAAGGTGATACATTGGTCTTTCTGGGGAGGTGCCCCTTTTGGACAGACGCATGCTATGTACTGCCTACCAGGCTCCAGGCCGTCGATGGTGACTTGGTTCTTGCTGAAGTCTGCATCCAGCAGCAGCAGGTCCTTCTCCCCGTGCTTGGAATACAGCACGGTCACCTCTGAGTTATGCATGGTGTTGATGGTGTTCCACATCAAGGTCACACTTTCCTTGGTTTCACTGACTGCCCTGAGGTTTTCTATCGTGGTATTCGTCTCCCTAGGCCTTGTTCGACCCAATGATGTCAGCTCTTCTTGTCTACTTGCACTAGCTGGGGGATGCTGACTTCCACCCATCTCCACCTTTACATTTCTTTCCCCATCTGGAGGCAGCTGGAGGGACTGCCAGCTGGCCAGGGTGGTGCTTGTTGAAATTTTAGTGCTTAGAGCTGTGGTTGGAGAAACCATGGAGGAGGAGAATGGGTATAAGGAGGAGGAAGCAGCAGAAGGAGATGAAGTAGAAGTAAAAAGAAAAGCAGAAGAAGGAGAGGAAGAAGAGGAGGAAGAAGGCCAGGGAGATGGCGATGAACCAGGTGTGGATATAGACCTTCTAGATCCTGGCTGGCCTTCTCGCCCAGGGTCATCTCCATTTCTTCTTTCAGAGCTGTCTGATGCGATGGTGGTCGTGGCAACACCAACCACTGTCACAGTAACCAGGGCTTCTGACATCCCAGCCAAATTTTTGGCCTTACACTTGTAATCCCCAGCATCCTTGTAAGAAATGTCTGTGAAGCTTATTACCGACCATCTGACTCCTTCCCCTGGAGATTCCTGAATTACTGGAAGAAAAAAGAAGAAGAAAAAAAAAATTATATATATATATATATATATATAATTCTGTGAGGAGGAAAAAAGCAACATGCCAACTGAAAAAAGAAGCAATTGTTTGGATCTACATGCATCCCTTTTTCATAAGCCAAGAGGGAAATGGCATACAGCAAGTCCCTAATGGCAGCTAATGGTCTAGGTCATGCCAGGTGCCATGAGTCTATACAGAAAATAGTATTTTTAAGAGACATGGGACTGTGAATTGGAAGACTTGATTTTAGTAAACTTTTGTCCACTAAGTAGTATGTAATTTCAGACTTGTCAATTAGTGTCTTTAGGTCTTTGTTTCTATATTTTTAAAATAAGGGGATAAGAAAAGGTGATCTCAAAGATCCCTTCTAACTTTAATTCACTATTGTCCTATAAAATGTTTATCACAAGGCCTTAATTTAATATTTCCACAAATATTTCTTCATTGTAATAAAATGCTATCTATCTACAGAGGGCATAGCAGATCATTTTCTGGCATGGAGGAGTCATCATTTGTATTCTCAATCTTTTATTTTATATTTAGTTTATATAAACTAGTAAATCATGGGTTCTTTTATTTGTAGAATAATATATAGTTTTTGAAAAATTGGAATTTTCCTAAACACTTAAATCTGACATATTTCCATTCTGTCTTGATTTCTGAAGCTTTCTGAAAACAAATACACTAAGCAGTATTCCGAGAGCCCCAAGTTTAACTCACACCTCAAGGCATGGACCATTTACTATTTGTAAGGATAGTAAGCCTTGAATTTCTTTTTATCAAGTTTCATTATTTGAACCTTCATTTAATTTAACTTTCAAAAGTTTTAAGAGTAGATTGCTCATTAGAATATCACTATAGAAACTGAGGTCAAAGCATTGGCTTGGACATAATAGGATCTGAAAAGTCTATGAAAACAATATTTCTAAAAGTTATACTTTTTTTATTCACAATAATGTTTGCATGTAATTATTTACACAATCATTTAAAATGATATGAAAATCCCTTCTGAGGAAATTGCAATCACTATACGTTTTAAAGTGAGCCATATCCAAGATGACACAGCAAGACAAAGGCCTTCCATGCAGTCATTCATGCAATAGATCATGTTTTCTAAGAAAAGAATCAAATTCTCTAATTTCTGCCGAAACTGGTTTGGCTCAGTGGTAGAGCGTCGGTCTGCAGACTGAAGGGTCCCAGGTTTGATTCCGGTCAAGGGCATGTACCTTGGTTTCGGGCACATCCCCGGTGGGGGTTGTGCAGGAGGCAGCTGGTCGATGTTTCTCCCTCATCGACGTTTCTAGCTCTCTATCTCTCTCCCTTCCTCTCTGTGAAAAATCAATAAAATATATTTTAAATTCTCTAATTTCATCTATGTAGTTAGTCAGATACCAACTGAGGAAAATATTAACTAAGAAAATGAACTTTCAAATCCCTTTTACCTAACACTCTTGGCATATTTTATTAGAATTAACAAGCAGATTACAAATATTCCCCAAACTGAGATTAAATATAGATCTTTGAAAACTTTGTTTCAACATGGCACCCAAATTAAAAAAAAAAAAAAAATACCTGTGTAATTAACAGGCGAGTGGTCAGATCTGGTCCATGTGAGTTGCGGGGTGGGGTAGCCAGTGCCATCACACCGCAGCAGGACATTACTGCCCAGAGTAGACGTGATTCGGGTGGCCGAGGTCATCACCGATGGCTTCACACACTGATCCAGCTCAGCCCGCTGAAATAAAATCCCTGTCAGGTGCTCGGGCTCACTGCAGACCATCAGTGGATCAAGAAGTACTATGGCAGGATCAGCAATTTTGGATATCTCAATCATTTGGGAAATGTGACAGTCACAGAACCACGGGTTGTCCTGCAGACCTAACCCAGAAGGAGGAAAAGGCTGATAAAGATTATTCTGATGGCCTTGGTTTACATCACAGCCTCTTGGAGAAGCAGGTGTCTGCATGGTCTCCCTAAAAACAGAAGTGCACTCAGGGATGAAGTGGAATCACCTTTCTATCAGTTTTGCCCTGGATCCAGTCACGTGAATGAACAAATCCTCTCAGTTCAGATCATGAAGGGTTATAGCTAATAGTCATTGAGCACTTACTCTGTACTTTGTTCTAAGCACTTACTAGTATTTTCTCATTTAATCCTAACAACCCTATATAGAAGACAGTATTTGTTATTCGCCCTGTAAAGATGAAGAAGCTAAGACACAGGAAAGCCAATAATTTGACCAAGGTCACATAGCTAATTAGCGTCAGAGCCAAGATTTGAATCCTAGTAACACAGAATGTCATAAACAAAGTGATAGAGATACTTCTAGGGTGCTATGAAAGTACTTATATTATTACTAGAGGCCCAATGCACGAAAATTCGTGCACTTAGGGCGGGAGGGAGGGCATCTCTCAGCCCAGCCTGCATCCTCTCACAGTCCAGAGGCAGTCGACATCCTTAGCACTGCAGAAGAGGCAGGAGAGGCCTCCACCACCACTGCTGCACTCCACCTGGCTTGTGGCTTCACAGAGCTCCCCCTGTGGAAGTGCACTGACCACCGGGGGCAGTTCCTGTGTTGAGCGTCTGCCCCTGGTGGTCAGTGCATGTCATAGCAACTGGTCGTTCCCAGTAGTTCTGCCATTAAGGTCAATTTGCATATTACCCTTTTATTATATAGGATAAGTATTATAGGATGCTAAGAGGGACCTAACTCAGCCTGCACTACATCATGATCTGAAGACATATTAAGGTAGCACAACTTTGGTGCAGCAAAAGCATTGAGTGAGATGCAGACAATGTCAGAGATAAGACTGGAAAGATTGGTAGAGGTTAGAACATGGCTTGGCATGAATTTCATCTTTTGTAGCCATGAAGATATATTGCCCAAATTCCCCTTCTGGAGAGAATCAGCCACCAGGAACAAAGTTGGTTGACAACCTCCTGTTGCAAGTGCCTTCAGGATCTGCCTCAGCTGTCAGAGTTATTAGCCGAGATGTGCTGGCCTTCCAAAAGGCTGTCAGTGTGAGCTTAAAGAAGAGTGAGGAAAATGCTACTGGAAACTAAGGGAAGGAGACCCTTGTTATGGAGTGGCAAAGTTTAGCAACACTGTCACCTGTGTTTAACAGGAAATGTAGGAAACATACTCAATAAATAAAAGTTCTAGCTAAGGACATTTCCACACTGAGTGCTGCCTGGTATCTTCTTGCTGCTCATAATAAACTGTAAAGAGACATCAGCTAAAGGAAGATATGAAGTGTAAATATAAAATATTTTTATATATAAAAGCTAATATAGATATAAAAGAACCAAAACCTGCTGGGTCCATAATAAAATTGTTTCAGTACGAAGATTCCTCAAAAAATTAAAAATAGCACTGCCTTATGACCCAGGAATTCCACTTCTGGGTATATATATATATATATATATATATATATATGAAAAAACCTAAAATACTAATTGAAAAGAATATGTGCACCCCATTATTTACAATAGCCAAGGTAAGGAAGCAACTCAAGTGTCCATCAATAGACCATTGGATAAAAAGGCTATTGGATATCTGCATACATTGGAATATTAACCAACAATAAAAAGAATGAAATCAAATATATGTGGCAACATGGATGGGCCTAACGGGTACCGCTAAGTGACATAGTCAGACAGAGAAAAACAAATACCATATGATTTCACTTATATGTGGAATCTAAAGAGCAAAATAAACAAAACAAAAAAGCAGACTTATAGATACAGAGATCAGACTGATAGCTGCCAGATTGGAGGGGATTTGGAGGGCTGGGTGAAGACTGAAGGCATTAGGAAGAACAAATTAGTAGTTACAAAGTAGTTATGGGATGTAAAGTACAGAATAGGGAATATAGTCAATAATATTATAATAACTACCTATGGTGCCAGGTGGGTACTTGAAATATTGGGGGGATTACTATGTAAAGTACAGAATTGTCTAAGTCTTATGCTGTACACCTGAAACTAATACAAAATAATATTGAATGAGAACTATAATTGAAAAATAAAAAAATAATAAAACTTTTTTTTTTTTTATGCTGAGCCTCTCCAAAATTTTCAAATTAAAAAAGAGCTTCAGAGTGAAAATTAATCCCGTGTGGGTGGGACCATAATAGCATTTGCTAAGATCTCAGAGGGATCTGAGATGGTGCTTCAGAGCCTGCAGGCAGACAAAGTCTCTCTAAGGATCTGAAGGGTGATGTCCCATAGCAGCCTCCCACAAAGCCCCAGGTTGAAAGGATTTATCTCTGGAAGATTTGAGGTTGTGACTTTTTACTAATGGAGTGGATTATACAATGATTCCTAAGGAGAAATGACAGAATTGCAATTTTAAAAAATTCTAACCATGGTGGAAGATTTAACTGTTCACTATAAATTCTAGATTCCTATTTATGCCTATCTACAATTTTAAAAAGCATAATATGCTAATTAGACTGGACATCCTTCTGGATGACCTTCTGGGCGAAGTCAGAGCTGCAAGGGCAGCCACAGTCCCAGGTGCCAGAGGGAAGCCAGCGCTGGCAGCCGGGGGAAGGAAGGCCTACTCTTGCATGAATTTCATGCATTGGGCCTCTAGTTTTTATTATAATAGCACTTCACGACTGATCGTTATTTTCTGCCAGCATTGGTAAGCATTTACTGTGTGTGTTTTTTCAACTATCTTAACAATTCCTTTTCTTTCACGGTCAATTACCTTAGACTTCTGTCTCTTACAATTAGTCCCGTGAATCTATGACCATTTCCCTAATATTGATGTGAATTCTATTCAACCTGCCAACAAACATCAAATTCATCCTGTCATGTAATAATAGGTGTAGAATACTTTATACTTTCAAAGCACCTGCTGTCCAAGACTTTTTCTTTATAAGATAACAATACCAGTTGACAGTTATTGATTGCAACCTCTGTTGCAAAGACTATATTTGTCAAGAATTGTAAAAGGTCCAGTGACCAACTCATCCCAGTTCCCCAATTTCTTAGAAGTTGGCAGAAGACACAAGACTCCTGTTCAGAGATGAAAGACAGTTTATTACTCATAGCTCTGAAGGAAGAGGTTATCCTTATTGCACTGGGCAGTAAGCAAGCCTACCCTTTGCTCTGGAGGAGGACATACCTCTACCTTTCAAAGCTACTCTCTACACAAATATTCTTGAAAAGATTGTTCAAAACAAAGGGCAGTCAGTGCCTGCCTCTGCTCAGAAGACATGCAGAGATGTGAGGGACAATGACACATTATCTGCCAAAAGTGCTCAGCATGCCAAAGGATCTGTCTGACAACAGCATGAGGTGGACGACATTAGTATCATCCTCACTTTAAGGAGGAGAAAACCAATGCTCCGGGAGGTTAAGGCGTCTGCCCAACTGGAATGCAGTCAGGATTTGAACTTCACTATCCTGATCTTAAAGCTCTCATTCTCCACCACCGTGTCTATGTCTTACACGGACCTCAGGAAGCTAATATGATTTTTCCAATTTCACACCAAAAAACATTAAAGCACAGAGACCATTTTTCGTGGCTTTGTAAGTAGTCCTAATCCCATACGCTGTAGCCTTCTAATCTAATACTCCTGCCATAACTCATTTCTTCATCACCTAAAAACAGCTAGAGCCACAGGTGGCCGTGAGAAGTGCTGTTATCTACAAATAACCAATGTCCAAGCAGTGGTATCTGGAGTACAAATGTCTACATAGGAAAAGATCAAAGAGCTGTAACGTTAGCAGTGTCATTCGAGCCTTGAAACTGTTATAAAAATGTGTTAACAATGAAGTAAAATTCTTTTAAAAATTAATCCAACTGGCTATATCTAAAAGTTATGTAAACCAGGGAAATAGTTTCAAATCCCTCAAGAACAAAACGTGTATTTATTCCAGTTTTGGAATATCTAAGGTCAAAGGTACAACTTAAAAACCTGAATAACAGCCATCTAAGTGCTGAACACATTCATCAAGTGTTTTTTCTTCTGGGGACAAAGGTACAAGAGCCCTCCGGAGTTAAAGTGTTACTTGTACTGCATTCTTTCAAAGCAACGTGCCAACCACAGCCACAGCAATTTGCATTAATTAATTTATTTTAGATTGCTGTTCTTGGCCAGGGCCAGATGGACTTTGCCTTATCTTTTTTCTAAAGGGGTAAATGCTTTCCATGCATCTCAGTAATTGGATTAAATGGGTTAACAAAAAATAAATAAAAACAGATGGATAGATACAGAGAACAGACTGACAGCTGTCCGAGTGGAGAGGAGTTGGAGAGCTGCGTGAAAAAGGAAAAAGCATTAAGCAATGAAATAAAATAAAATAAAAAACACCTCAGCAACACAGATGAGAGTATAGTGATTACCAGGGAAAAAGAGGGGTGGGGAAAGGTAGCAGAGGATAAAGAGGAGATAAAGGGGATGGAAGGAGAGTTGGCTTAGGGTGGTGAACACACAATACAATATACAGATAATGTATTATAGAATTGTACACCTGAAACCTATATAATTTTATTAACCAAGGTCACCCCCAATAAATTCAATAAAAAGTAAAAACAAATAAATAATAAGTAAATAAACATTTAAAGAATAAAAGAGGATATCCCAGGAGATGGGCTATGATAGAAGCTTGACCCCGCCTCTTTATCAGCTGGTGAAGAGGATGTTGATTACAGTCCTACCTCACGTGGTTTTTCAGAAGGCTGAGATGCCCCAGGAGTCCTCAGAAGGGCACCTGGCAAGGGGTAAGCCTTAGCTATGTGGAACTTGCTACCATGTTTCCCCGAAAATAAAACATCCTTTGAAAATAAGACCTACTTACAGGTTTCCTTCTGAGTGAAATATAAGGCATCCCCCCGAAAATAAGACTCCCCTAGTCTGTCTCAG